GGGCCATTCTCTGAAGTAACAGGTTAGGATCAAGTTGATCTTGGTGCAAGGCATTGGACACCTAATAGTTTGAAATATTACAGAATGGCTTCTCTCCTGTTTTCCTTCTTGCTTTCTCTGTTCTGCTTTAAGTTGTCTGAGGTTCATTGCTCTGCTCAATAAAACAGCAGAGCTTGTGTCATGTTGCAGAGAATAGCAGAGACAAGTTGCGGCTTTCAGGCAGAGCTTGTCTTCGAAGGTTGCTTGATCTGGTTCAGTGGAGGAAGCTCTAGTTTCATCTGTCTGCTTCAAAACCTATATGCAGTAGAGTCCAGAAACAGGACACAGCACACTTTAACTTGAGAATAGCCACTGTTGAAATGTTATTTCTTAAGATCATAAAAGCACAATTAAAAGCAAATAGGGTCATTACACACTACAAGCTTGCACAGTTCTTAGTTCACACTTTGTCATCTCAAAGTTCAGATATAGTGCATCCAGCAGTCATGTCTCTTAGGTCATCTGGAGATCCTCCATCAAGCAGAAATACTTTGCTCTGGTTCCCAGAGTTAAATAGACTGCCCTGCTTCCAGGGGGCTGAGAATGACAATACTGATCTCCATGCATTAGTGTCCCTGCCTGTGGAGGTTTGTCTTCTCAGTGGGAATATTTCTAGATATATTTGCCTTTTTTTTTTTGCCTTCAGTGGTGATAATTGCAACCAGTACCACTACTTCCTGTTTGTTTTTATGGATGCCATGATGCTTTGGCCTTTGCTTTTGTTTTTTGTTTCTGGGTTGATCTGTTGTATCTTGCTGTTGCCCTCAGTTGCATACTCTCCTTCTTACCATGCTAGTCCAGTGCTGATGACTGTGGACTACAATAGAAGATCTATAAATGGAAGCTTTTCCTAACTGCACCTATGCAGTTAGCGTGTCTCCTAGAAGGTGCCATCAGCTTACTGCTTTCTTTTCATGATGTACCACCATCCTTTATACTGCTGTGTCACGTGTAGCTTCAGGTCATTTGTGGAGAAACTCTTATCCTGTTGACTTGGGCAGTACTTTCTTCCTGTCCAAGCTTAGTTCCCTTCCTTGGTACTCTTCAGCTGATGTGTCAACAGATTTGGAGAAAAAGGGTATGGAGAAGTAAATTTTCTGTTTCCAAAACTGCTTTTCTTGTGCTCAATTCTTAAATTAAGAGCTTTCCCATAGCTGCTGTTTTCCGAGTGACATCTTTGCATACACTGAAATGTTATGGTACTAACTACAAGAGGTGCTGCTAGCTAGATGCTAGCATGTTCATCCTGTTGCACTCTTGACAGATACGTTGTCTTCATGCAGGTTGCACAGGCAGTTGTTGGGTCAGGTTCTGATACCAATCCTCGCATGGTGATGTCTGTGGTGTGGGAGAAGCCTTTCACTGTTCTGTCAGTGGTGGAAGTAGTAGTGGCCTTCTTGTTGCAATCCTTTAACGCCTCTCAAACTTGGAACAGTTGTCTTGTAATTGCAGAAAGCATTCCTTGTGAAAGGTCCTCCAGCAGTGGTCATTTGGGTTCCTGGGAGTGACTGGTGAATAGAATAACTGATCGTTGGGGATTTATGCTCCTGAAAGCAAGTTGAAGGAAATGCCAGTGTAATGACTTTTGTTCTGGAGAAACTGCACCTCAGCTAGAATGTTGAAAAACGCTGTGCCTGGTTTCAGCAGATGAAGACAAAGAACTGCTCTAGCAGTGTCATTGGAAAGAATGTGGCACAGACACAAGCTCTTCAGCTTGCTTTTCTTGGGGTATGACTTCAGAGATGGACTCAGTACAGCAACTGAGACTATTGGAGCAAGCCATCACCAGCTGTGGCAACACTGGGCGAAGCACTTCCTGGGAATTGTAATCTTTTCTTGCAGCTGTGAAGGTTTGGTGTACGGGTTTTTGGTTTGTTGTTTGTTTGTTGTTTTTTTTGTTGTTGTTTTATTAAGGATAATTCTACTTCTTGCTTTATAGGGAGTAATTCTGAGAGAGAGTTCGTATGTCTCGAGTGTCCTCTTACACCTCTGTGTTATGCAACACCTTTTAGCTATCCGATCTTGTGAGATAGCTTTTTTCCTCAGTATAATGCAAAAAGAATGAGGTGGGACTTATTTTATAGTGATCACATGCGTATTTGTGATGTAGTTTCCCCCTTTTACTCTGAAAATAATATTACAATAACCTTCAAGACATGTAATTTCTATTTTAATTTTTTTTAGGATGAGGCAGTTTAACATGCTAAATGGAAGTAAAAATGGGATTAAGTGGATAGTGCAAAGTTATGGCTCACATTGAAACAAGTACATAATTCAAACTAGGTATCACTCAGCTTTTTACTGTGTAACCTCATTAAGGTGGGGAAGGCTTTACTAAAGTTATTGAATGTGGAATGCAAATGAAATTGAGTTCATGCAGTTTAGATTAATGGATAGAGTTTAGGACTCAATCTCTTTTTAGAACTATAGTCAGCACTACAAATCTTCAGCATGTTATTGGAGATGCAGCATTTCTGTGTTCCACTCTGTGTTCCTATTCAGTTCCAAGAATAGCGCAGGATTAAATGACTCTTTTGCTTTCTAGAAGGGTGTTGTATTGAAAAGCCTTCTGCTGACAGCTCTTAAAGGATGTGAGATGGTAAAACGTTTCTAGAGTACTCCATAACGGAAGGTCCAAATCAGTGTATTTCTCAGAGAAAAATTTCTTCCCACTCTGAATTCAGCAGTTACTCAGCTAGTATCCAGGGAAGTTCTATGTCCTGATCTCTCCAGTGACATCCACTGCTTCATTAAAACTGTGGATACGCTAGCCCTGGTCTCTTTAGGATAGTCCCCGACTCCTGCTGTCCCTGGCAGGAAAGACACTGTTTTGAAACTGTATACATTGAGTACCACTCTCAGTACTTGTTAAGAAGAGTAATATGTAATATTGCTTCAAGGCAGACTGCTTTCTGACAGTGACATGACTTACTGTAATTATATAGACACTAACTCAGTCTAGCCTTACCTGCTGTTACTCCTTTCTGGGCACATGAGTGCATCTTCCTTACGGGTGACTTCAGCAATGACTGAGAAGTAGCACTAGCAACAGTATTTTTTCTATTTGCAATAAAAACAGTACAGCAAGCTTCAGTTCAACTCGTGGTGCATATTGCCTCATTGATTTGTTAATAGTTCTGGTACTGTCTTGCCTGATACGTGTTATTAAAATGGAGCTGATCACAAAAGTAATATTTCTCTAATAATAATTTCACTGTGCTATGTGGTTTTGATTTATTTTTTATTTTTTTACACATAGTATTAGGATAGCTTGTAGATTCCCTCAGATTTGCAAAAATCATTGTTATGTGTACTTTTCTTTGTACAAGAAAAAATCCTGAAAGCTCTTTTAGACTTTCTAATCTCCCAGTAATTTTAAGTGGTCTCTCTTCACTTATTCCAAGCTTGATTAATCCCTCATAAAAATGAATGATAAGAATTGAAAAAATATCTTAGATGAGATTTCATCAGTGATTTGCATGAGAGCACTGATGTTACCCTATCCCAATTAGATCCAATTTGTGTATGTGTACAGATTCTTAGGATTGTTGGAATAAGTCACGCATTTGATTTTCATTTATGTAGCGTTTGGATTTTTTTATACTTGTTCCTCCTTTGCAGAGAGATGTCTTTCTGAAGCTTTAAGTTCTTGAGTTGTTGAGTTACTGCAGTTCTGTGAATGAAGATTAACTATACATTTTAATAATTAATTCAGAAAGCACACTGTCTTGATAAAGTTTCTTAGAAATATCAAACCAAATGAGAATTTCTGTTGGCATCTCCTATCAGAGTTTTTCTCTTTTGGTTAAGAGATCTTTGTATTTGAAATCTGTGGATCTGTGGTGCTGCTACTGAAAGCTTCTTGCACATCTTCCTAAGCCCTTTTTTTTTTTTTACTAGCCTTTAGACATACAGTTTGGCCTGAAGTTGCTGTTTGAGAGACATTCTTTCAGCAGCCATGCCAGTTTATGCAGCTTGATGCTGCATCCTTAATTGTTCTAGTAAAACTGTTTATGCGCTGGTTATCAAAGTGGATCAGGGAACTGAACTTGGTTAGGAATAATCAGACTTAGTTACTTTTTTGCCTTACTACTTTTGACCTGGATCATTTCAATGAGCAGCTTTGCTGAAAGGCCTGCAATCATACTGATGTAAATGGATGGATGGTATTATGATAGGAATGAAAGATGGAAAAAATGGGAACTGCTTAAGGCTTTCTTTTACCAGCTTATAAAAGAAAAAAACCCACAAACTAACAACAAACCAATCTACCACAATTCCTTTTTTAAATAGGGCTCTTTACTTTCTTGCTTAGAAAAATGTCTGTTAGACAATAAAAATAGTGAGGGTATAGATTTGTATAAATGTAGAACCCCCTACTCCCAAAATCCCCAACAAATGAAACAACTTTGTAGCATCTTAGATTTTTCCAGACTTCTTGGTTATGTAGATTAAAAATCTTTCCTACTTGATAGTAGTGGAGAGTCTTTACAGGTTTTGTAATCCTATGTTAAATGCCTGAAGAGTTATTGGAGCTCTGCTTGTGTCATCCCAAGCACCATATAATCCAAGAACATGAGAGTATTCAGGGTGCTAGGACTAAGGGATTACCTGATTGCTGCCTAAAACTGTGTGATTAGAGATTGCAGACAAGGTAGAACGGGTCTCTTTTCAGAGGTGCCCAGTGATGGGATGAAAGACGGTGTACACAAGCCAGATGGGCTTCAGTTATTATTCTGTGGTTTTTATACCTCCAGGAACACTGACAGCAGCAAGAAAATTGCTCTCCCTTGCTTTTCAAGTTAAAAGAATACAATATACAACTGGAATGTCCTTTTAATGTTGCTAATTTCATTCATCTGCTAACTTGTTTTTACTGAAGCTGTAGTAAAATGTCAGAATGATGTTTCAGTGTACTACATATCTGATGTGATTTATTTTTTTTTTCCCCTTCAGCAAATTTGACAGGCCATGCAGAGAAAGTTGGCATTGAAAACTTTGAACTCCTGAAAGTTCTTGGAACAGGGGGTAAGATGCACTGTTTTTCCGAGTTGAATGTTGGAGCATTACTCTTAAGTATAGTTTTGTTTTCTAGCTGAGGTTTTGATAATTGGAACATTCTTTAGGAAGATATATCACTTTTGTATTGCATAGCATAATTTTCTTCACATTTTTCTCATAAATACTGTGCAAAATTGAAGGTCGCATGTTCTAGTTTACAGCACTTTTGAAGATGCCCTTTTTCAAAGAAAAGAAAGGAAAATAAATGGCTTGAGATGGTGACAATTAATACAGTTTGTGAAAAATCTGATCTAAGTTAAGGTATGATCTTGGTAACTTCATTAAATTTTCAGACTGTGCTCTTGAATTTCTGGGAAAAAAAACAGTAATGTTAGTACATTATTGAATAGGATGATCCACTCTTTAACTATATTTTGTAGAATTGGCATTGGCTGTACTATTCTTCTTGTGTCCTATTCCCAGTATTTTTTAAGATGGAAGATGTTCACTGTTGTATTTTAGATTTGAGCACAATGTTGATTTGTAGGATGTTGTAGGATTGCTGACTGTAACCAATAAAAAAAGTTGCGTTTCCCCTTTGTTGAAGGGGCACACACAGAGGCACGTACACAGATGAAAAGTAATGGCTTTTATTCTTAGTGTGTTTACACATTTTTTTGGGTCAGTATTAACATAAGATGCAGTGTTGAGTAGATTGGGATAATCTTGAAGGTGGATTATGATCAAGGTCTGTAGAAGATATAAGTTAAGATACTAAATTTTGGGTGTTATCAGCCATTAACCGCTAGCAGCTCACAAGTTGCTACATCACTGAAAGGAGCAGAGGTTTTTCATTTTCACATTTAGCTGTCATACAAATTATTTCATAAATTCATTAAGCTATTAAATCACACGAGAGTATATTTTTCAGTTTCTGAAGTAATTGTTTTAAAATTTAAATTTAACAGGCTTAATAATTCAACACTTGCTGTTAAATGCCAGTAGTTAGTGGCAGAGGCAAGGAAGTTTTACTAATCATAGATACATGTTGCATATTCATAAGTAGGAGCAGCTATGCTTTTCTGAAGTGGTCAGTATTGGTTTGAGTGGGGTTGACAAAAATGAAATTGCTTATAATTACACATTTACGTGAGAATGTCTTTCTCTCCTGTTAATGGAAACATTGGCCAGATTTTAATTTTAATTATACGTGTGTGTGTATATGAGAACTGATCCCATACCTGATTTTTTTTTTTTTCCCTTGCCACTCCTATTAGTCTGAGATCACCTTAATGTTACAACTGTGGCATTTAGAATACAAAGTAAGTTTTGGTGGTTTCATAAGTGTCAGCCTTCAAATTCAGACTAATAGTAGCCTGACCTCCTCTTAATGCCTTTAGGCATTACCTCTGAAATACCCCTTTTGCTGCTGTTAAATTGTTGTCTGTCATTCATTGCTATCTTTCAGGTCCACTCTTCTTCATGAAGAGATTAGCCAAATTTCTCTTGACATGGGATGCTCTTAGTCATAGCAGGTAGTCCTTAGGTTCATAGTGTAAAGCCATCCTATTCACTTAGGTTAACAGGATAATTTTTGAGTGATCCCTTTCAGAAAAGGCTACTTCAACAGGTTGACAATGGGATTGAGAGCGTGTGTGTGCGTGAAGAAAAAGCTGAGGAAGCATGCCTGTCTGTCTTCATCCTGCTCTAGTTGTCATGTTGCTCCAGAAACATCTTCTGTCTTGGTAGACTTCAGACTATTTCAAGAACTGACTAAAAGATTCCTGCAAATTTTAGGCATCCAAGGATACCTCGGGTATCCTGGAACGGCATTTGTAGGCATTCTGGCAAGAGGTTTCTGAAAGAACATTATTTCACAATAGGATATACCTGTGTTAAGGCATTTCTTCTCTAAATATCATCCACCAAAATTTTGGTGCAGCTCTGAATGCCGTCTTCAGTGTATTTCTAATTGTTACGGTCAGAAGAGTTTCTGTGTCCGTTTCATTAACTTGACAGAACAGAATAGAAACTGAAGCAAGATACTGGCCATTTGGCTAAGATGATCCTGAAATTTTCTACTGTGAAATAATTTTTTGTGAGTATTGGGCCTGCTGTTACAGAACCACAGAGAACTTGTACAAATTGGCTCTGGTGCTGTTAGTGTAGTAACATACAAACCCCTTCGTAAAAACGTAGTTTTTAAGAAGTTCTAGAGCTATCTTGTCAATAACAAGAATTATTGTGTAAGCACTCCATCTTAAGTATGGAAAACCATCTCAAATGCTGTAGACCTCTCAGTATCTGCTGCATGTGAAAAGTCTGGGTCTGTACATTCAGTTAGCTATCTTACTGACTGTATGTTTTTCCTGTGCAATGTACCCTGCCTTTTTCCCCACAACTTCCATAGCAGAGAGATTATTTTTCAAAAACTTCATAAGACTCGAACCACCTGTTTGCATGCAAATTTTTCTACAAGATCTTAACTGTGGTGTGTCATGAGTTGTGGGGTCCTGTTTAGGCCTGCAGCTTCTTGTTCTCATACTTGAATTGAGGTTGGAGAAGTGAGTATGACTACTCTGATTTCTCAGTTCTTTTTACTAGAATATATGTTTACTTGGGGGAATGAGAAGGCAGCTAAAGAAAACAGTCTATAATCACAATAATGTAAGTCGAAATATTTGGATTAGCAGGCTTTATTGCAGACTTGTCTTAAATGATGCTGTGCAAGAGTAAGACCTCATTTAGAACTTGTGCTGTCTTGTACGAAACTACTCATCTGCATTTCAGTTGTCGTCCTCAGGCTTGCTCTCAGAAAAAATGAGGAAAAAGTTCAGAAGATACTTTCATGCCTTCTGTATTCATAGAAACATAGAATAGTTTGGGTTGGAAGGGACCTTTAAAGGTCATCTAGTCCAACCTCCCCTGCAATGAGCAGGGACATCTTCTAGATCAGGTTGCTCAGAGCCCTGTCCAACCTGACCTTGAGTGTTTCCAGGGGTGGGGCATCTGCCACCTCACTGGGCAGCCTGTTCCACTGTTTCACCACCCTCATTGTAAAAAAATTTCTTCCTTATATCTAGTTTGAATCTTCCTTCTTTTAGTTTAAAGCCATTAGCCCTTGTCATGTTGCTACAGACACTGTTAAAAAGTCGGTCCCCATCTTTCTTATAGACCCCCTTTAAGTACTGAAAGGCTGCGCTAAGGTCCCCCGAGAGCCTTGTCTCTTCTCCAGGCTGAACAACCCCAATTCTTTCAGCCTGTCGTCATAGGAGAGGTGTTTCAGCCCTCTGATCCTTTTTGTGACCCTCCTCTGGACCTGCTCTAACAGTTCCATGTCTTTCCTGTGCTGAGGGCTCCAGAGCTGGACACAGTACTCCAGGTGAGGTCTCACAAGAGCAGAGCAGAGGGGCAGAATCACATCTCTCAACCTGCTGGCCATGCTTGTGATGCAGCCCAGGATACGGTTGGCTTTCTGGGCTGCAGGTACACATTGTCGGCTCGTGTCGAGCTTTTCATCCACCAGTATCCCAAGTTCTTCTTGGCAGGACTGCTCACAATTCCTTCATCTGCCAGCCTGTGTTGATAGCAGGGGTTGTCCCAGCCCAGGTGCAGGACCCTGCATTTGACCTTTTTGACCCAAGGTTCACACAGGCCCGCTTCTCGAACTTTTCCAGGTCCCTCTGGACAGCATTCTGTCCCTCAGGTGTGTCAGCTGCATCAGTCAGCTTGGTGTCGTCTGCAAACTTGCTGAGGCTGCAGTTGATCCCACGGTCTGTCATTGTTGAAGACATTGAACAGTACTGGTCCCAATATGGAACCCTGAGGGACACCACTTGTCATTGATCTCCACCTGGACATCGAGCCATTGACTGGTACCCTGTGGATGTGACAAGCCAACCAATTTCTCATCCACTGAACAGTTCACACATCAAATCCATATCTCTCCAATTTAGAGAGAGGGATGTTGTGGGGGACCATGACAGAGGCCTTAGAGAAGTCCAGATAGACGACATCTGTAGCTCTTCCCTTGTCCACTGATGTAGTCAGTCCATCACAGAAGGTCACTAGGTTGGTCAGGCAGGACTAGCTAGCCGTTGGTGATGCCAAGGCTGTCTCGAATCACCTCCATGTGCCTTAGCATAGCTTCAAGGAGGATCTGTTTCATGATCCTCCCAGGCACAGAGGTGAGGCTGACAGGTTTGTAGTTCCCAGGGTCCTCCTTTCTACCCTTTTTAAAAATGGGTTTCCCTTTTTCCAGTCACTGGGGTCTTCACCTGACTGCCATGACTTTTCAAATATCATGGGGAGTGGCTTGGCAACTATGTCAGGCAATTCCCTCAGGACTCTGGGATGCATCTCGTCAGGTCCCATAGACTGGTTTTTAGCTGCTGGAACTATATGTCTTTCTGACTTCGCCACATCCCAAATTTTAATTCATATGGACAGATGCCTGCATGGTGAGAGTTCTGCCTCCAAATTCTTTAGGAAGATTAAATCTAAAGGCTATTTTAACAATAATAAGTGCAGAGGAAAGAGGTTATTAGGCATATATCATGCAAGGATACAGTGGAATTTATTCAAATCATTAAATATTTTGTAGCTCTGAGCCTTTTCCTGTTGTTATCTCATGATTATTCTTACACTGAAGGTAAAAGAAAAAAAGTAATTTAAGAAAGAGGTGTAGCTTATGTTAACACCTGAAAACATTGCTTTAAAACTGTATACAAATGTCAAGTTTTGATGGATTTAGAAGTCTGCATAAACCATCCTGTGTGCTATAAACAATAAGAATTGCTTGCCTCTTTCTCTGTAAGAATTAGCTGGCATGATGCAGTGGCTTAATGTGCTTGATCTATACAGAAGGAATAAAGAAGCAAAGAATACTTTATATTTTTAATTCATTGTCTTTCAGTAAGTGTGTACTTTAGAATATTCTAATGACTTGCTGAATTGTTACTTATGATGTGTATTACTATGAATGTGTATTCATGAAAAAGGCTGTAGTGAAAGTAAAGTTTTATCCCCAATTATATTTTTCTGCCTCGCAAATTAAGTGGAAATTTGGTATAAATTGCTGGTATAAATCTCTTACTCATCTTACAGGCCTGATATCCATATCGATCTGCAAATAATAATTGCTTTTTTCTTTAAATTTTTATTTTATTTCTCTTAATGAACAGCAAGGTCAGTCTAACATAGTTTGTGCTAGTGTATGTATATGTGTGTATGTATATATATAGTATGTATTAGATAGTATTTTAGGTCTTCCATAATTTAAAATCTTTCATAAGATGATCAGATAAGGGTATTCTTACAGTTAGCTTATGTGCCTTCTCTACACTGCCATTCAAATGAATTGCTTTTGCAGCGTTGTCTTTTAAGTGGATTTCTCGTGGTGATATCAGACATTCTGGTGTTGAATATATCATGAGTCATTTGATTAAAATAGCGCTACTTCAGATTTACTCTCATCAAAACTGCTGAGAATTCTCATCATTCTGTCAGTCCTTTTTGGATTTCTGAAGAAACAATTTGTACCATGGTAAAGCTCTATGTTGCAAATTCTTCTTTGATAACACTAGT